ATAGCTCACTTACTGCAATCTCAAACTCTTGGACTCAAGCAGTCCTCTTGCCTCAGCCTCTCGAGTAGCTGGGACTACAGGTGCACATCACCATGCCTAGCTAATTTTTCTATTTTTAGTAGAGATGCAGTCTCACTCTTGTTCAGGCTGGTCTGGAACTCTTGAGCTCAAGTGATCTGCCAGCCTCAGCCTCCCAGAGTGCTAAGATTACACGCGTGAGCCACCGCACCCAGCCTCTTAGCCACTTTTTAAATCTACTTTGTCCACACAGGTAGTAAGTAACTTGTCCGCGTACTTTTTAGTGATTGTGGTGGTGGTGATGACTTAAATCATATGTGTGCTAACTCTCTAGAATTTCAGGCAGATTGAGTTTGGGACACAAGTATATTTCTCATTCGTTGCTTTTCTTTTGCTGCTTTGTTAACTTTTCCTGCTGTTGTCATTATTCAGTATCTTCAGAGACAGGGGCTTTGAGAAAATACATAATTAAAAATATTCAAATAAATGGAAAACCTTCATTTGTGATTTTAGAAGCTCATGATTTTTACCCATGCTTGGTGGGGTAAATCACTTTTTGAATTTCTTCCAAATGAATGCTTTCTCATGGTTTCCCGGGTGATCTGACTGGAATGACTGGCCCCAGCTGTGTGATAATTCCTAATTAGGCCTAAAAGGGTCATTATAGATTGGTACAGTGAGGAGGAAAACTGCCATTCAACTGTGCCTGAACAATCTTCCTTTAGGCAATGCGTCTTTCATAGGTTTTTGACTCCCTTTACTCCAACTCTTCGGCTCCTTTTTTTTTTTACTTCCATTGATATGTTTTTCTTAAGATATCATTTCAACATTTGTTGAATCCTGGGCTAAAAGTGCTTGTTTACTTACCTAAAGACCTTGTTTTACAAAGATAGCAGTGAGCTAAGCTCCCTGATCTACCCAGTGTCCATGAGTCATTAACAAAGCAGGAAAGCCTGTTGACCCATTTACTGAGTCTGCCTACTGCAGAGACAGTTGCAATGACAGATTTTTTAGATGAGTGAACTTCTCCAGTAGGGATTTAACCAGTGTTTGCCATGCATTCCTGGTAGAACTTTGGAATGATGATTCATAAGAATTGACTCATTGTAGAGAGTTAGAGAAAGGAGTGGCGCAAGGCATCTGTCCATTAAAATGTGCTTACTTTGGTGCTAAGTATTGATCCTAGATCTGACAGCAGTCTGAAGGCAAGTAATGTAAACTTTTCAAACTGATGTGGAATTAGAAACACCAGTTAGTCCATGACCAACAAGCACCAAATATAATAGGTTGGTTGAATCACAAATGTTACTTTTAGTAATAGAATTCAACATCGCCCTATGTTTTTAATGTTACTTAAAGAGAAGCTTTTGGCAATTTTCTCCAAGTTTTCTCTAATTTTCTCCAAGAATTGTATTTATTATAAAACCACATTAAAGAAATAAAAACGATTATATGTTAATACCATTATTCTGTTTTCACCAGACAGAAGTAATGTGCTAAAAGAGAGCATTTTTTACATTGTAGTCCCTAGCTGGTTTTATACATTCTGGACTCCAGAATCTTAATTGCAGTAGGAATCCTAGAGAGATTCTTTAACTTGATATATTTATTGTAATCTTAGTTTCCTAATACAACAAATCACTAACGTTACAAATTACCACAAGCTTGGTGGCTTTAAACAACACAAAGTTGTTACCTTGGAGTTCTGGAAGTCAGAAATCCCAAATGGGTCTCGCTGGGCCAAAATCAAGGTGGTGGCAGAACAGGATTGCTTCAGGATACTCTAGGGAAGAATTCATTTCCTTGCCTTTTCCAGCTTCTGGAGGCTGCCTGCATTCCTTGGCTGGTGATCCTCTTCCATCTTCAAAGCTAACAGTGGCTTGTCAAACTTTTCTCATGCTGCACTATTCTGATACTGACTCTTCTTCTGCCTCCCTCATCTGCTGTTAAGGACTTGTGATTACATAGGCTTTGGGCCCACCCAGAGAATCCAGGGTAATCTCCCTGTTTTAAAGTTAGTGGCTTAGTTACCCTAATTCCATCTCCAGCCTTTCTTTGCCATGTAATGTAACATATCCACAGTTTCTGGAAGTCAGGATATGAACATCTTTGTGGGGGCATTATTCTACCTATTACTGTTGTCCATAGCCTGCTGTCTAGAATATCTGAATTTTTAAATCGGTATTATAGATTGAAGCTTTTAAAACGTAAAATCATCTTTCTTTTAGTATGTATTTTTGTTATCTAAGTCTGTGTATCTTGAAAGTAATCTCTAGCTTAAATCCTGTTTGAAATAAGACAATATAATAAACAAAGTAAGAACTATAAAGCAGGAAGAAACATTTGCTACGATTATGACAACATGGCATATATAAAATAATCGTACAAATGAATAGAAAAAAACTAAAGATCACCTTTAATGAAATAGGAAGATAACAGATTAAGCATCTTTCAAAATAACCTCTGAAAGACAGAAGTTGGGAGTGGGTTAATGATAAAACAGGTGGAGAAAATAATAGCCATAGTACACTGAGAGGACTACTGAAGAGATGGGAGCCAGTTTGCCAAAATGAAATCTCATGGAAGCTGTGGGCTCTGATTCGATCAGGTGGTTATGGGACTGAGGCTGAAATCAGAGGGATTCATTAAATCTATATGGGCAAATATACCTATGGGCTCCCTTTTTCTCCTCTGTCCTGTTTACAGATCCCAAGCAGATAGCATTTCTCCAAGGCATAACATTTGTTGCCTTTATTATTATTAAAAAAAAGAACTGATTATCTGGAAACAGCTAAGGCCTCTGATGAAGAATTGATGCTTCCAAGAAAAGTGTTTCTCATTTCAGATTTTGGGCAGATTTGTAGCCTCACAGTTGGTTCTCTATCTGCTCACAATGAAGTAATTATACTAATGGACCCACTCTCAATTTCCTTGATGGAGTTAGTTCCCAGTCAAACTTTTTTTGTGCTGGAGAGAGACCTCATCAGAAATGACACCAAGATACCCAAGATCAGAAAAAAATTAAGAGTCACAACTTACCCATTTATTTTAAACAAAAATGGATAGCTTGTAGTGGTGAGAATTAGCCAAACAATTTTAGAAGAGAATTTCTCAGAACTAAGAAACAAGGAGTCTTCAGGCTAAAGGACCAACCTATATAGTTCAGCAAAAATAAGTATAGAAAGACCTGTACCTAGATAGTGTCATGAACTTTCACAGTACCTAGATTAAATGATGATCCTAAAAACTTCAAAGACAAAATATCACAAGGAATTAGAGTCATATTGACATATTTTTTCATATGTACTGGGGAGTAGAAGATAATGGCAGTAAATTCAAAATACTGTCATAAAGTTATTTCTAATGTAGAAATTTGTGTCCAACAAATTATCAGTGTAGTGTAGGTGCAGAATAAATATATTTTCCTGTATACAAATTTTCAGAAAGTTTAATATTTTCATACTAAAGATATAGTCCAAGAAAATGAATGAAGAGAGGGATGCACATGAAATACTGAAAACAGTAAGCCCAAACAAAGTAAAAAAGGTTTCATGAGGATAGCCGTGTAGTGAATTAAAGAGCAATCAGTGCAGTTAGGAGCAAAAGGAGAGAGGGCTTTAATAAGGAGTGCTTTAGAATAGAGGGGGACTTTATAGACTAAAATCAATGTTTGAGCTTAGAAAAAATTCATAGTATGCTAAAATGTAAATAATGCAAGAGAAAAAATTATAAATAGAATGCCTAAGCAAAATAAATTATTACAGAAGAAAGTCGTGGTTCAATACTATGTTAGATGATACCTAGCATAAAGTTAAGCATATTAATTTTCCCTTCAGTTGGCATTAGGTCAAGTTGCCATACGCACAGAGAAGGAAATGAAATCCCAACAAACTACTTGGGTTTTCACTGAACAATACTTACACATATGTGTGTGTGAGAGAGAAGTGGAGGATGGGAGACAATGCAGTGATTTTAAAAGCCCATGAGGTATGTGCCATGGCCTTGGGACTCCACCAAATCTTTAGTACAATCTATTAAACTCATATATGCATGGACAACTGATTTTTGTGGAGGTTGTCCACAGAAAAGGCTCTCTTCCTGTGGCTCTGTGGTGTGATACAGTTGGCATGCAAGGAGGCTGGATCCCAGTCACTGGTGTGGCAGGGATAACGTGAACTTTCCAAGAGTTAGCGAAATGTCAATGGAAGTAGAGGTGGTAAGTTGGGAGGAGGGGTGCAGCTTTGATGTCCACAGGCAATCGATTTGGAAGAGGAGAGTTTAAGGAAATCTCACCTGTATTTGAATCACCAGCATTAAACCTATATGACAAACTATACTAAGCAAGGATTCGTAAGTCACATGAGCACTGTTTGGAAGGATCTGAGCTGCGTGAATTATGAACCGTCTGGGACCTTAGAGTTTGAACCGGAACTTAAACATGTCACACACTCCCTCTCGGTCCTCTCTCCTTCTTAGTGTATCACCTCTATTCTCTCCTGCTGCTCACTGAATTTATGCATCTGCTGGTAATGTGATTGGCAGCATTTATGGTGTTACCTCCTAACAGCTTCAGGATCTATTTAAGTTGGAAAAATCCCACTGATGGCCCTCAGATGGGCTTGACTTGGTTTGTGTGTCCCTTTCTTTGCAGTCATTGTGGCCTAAGGAGCAAGGCTTTCTCATGGCGAGCTGCAGAGTGGAGATTAGGCCTGTTACCAGATTACAGGAGGCCAAACAAAGCCCATAGGAGAATTCTGAGCCTAGTTTCTCTTCACAACACAAACAAGCAAACAGTAAAAACCCCAAAGCTAACACAAATATGAAGAGTACAAAAAAAATTATAAATCAGGAATTTCAAAAACTCACAGTTGGCTTCAGGGAAAATAACAGCAACCATGGACTGAGGCCTTATTAATCTGTCAGCTTATGATCTCCATATGTAGATTCCATATGTAGAATATGTAGACACCTGTTCTACAAAACACCCAAGAAGAGGAATTTTTTATATTACTTAACCTTCTAAATCCATGCAAGTTAATTATAGGTTAACAGCTTTCTAACAAGTCCAATAAACTTCTCTAGCAAATCCAGTATTCTCAAGGTAGCCTTTATCTCTCTACAAGACAACTCACCTTCCTTCCTTTCCCCTTACCTACCACCTCTTATCCTCCATAGAAACCATTTCTCCTGTGCCCTTCTACTTATGTGCAGGTTATGCTTTGGGTTGTCAGCAGCTTATCATATAAACTCATCTTTCCTAATGTGTTACATCTCCCAGGTAACAGAGCTCATTGTTGACTACCAAGGATAAATCTCTCCTATATCCAAACTGTTTCCCCCTGGGCCCAATTACTTTCCTCTAAAATACCAGTGTATTTTTCATTAAAATGCTTGCAAATCCTCGGGTAATTAGGTTTATAGCAGCCCCATTAAGCAGAACAATAATGATTTATGTAAGATGTTAAGCTAGAATCTTTGTTTAATAAAAAGGTTCAGTCTGCAGTCTGGGTTCTTAGGTCCTGCATCTTTGCATTGCCAGAGTATCTCTCTGTGATTTAGACTATCGCCCTATTTTGTTTCCCAGGAATATGTCAGTCCTGCTTGGAATTGTTCTTCAGGATTTACAAGCCTGAAAGCCCAGCTGTGATGTTCAAGCCTTTTCTGAAGAAGCAGCAGGGATCAGAATAGACCTTGTTAAAACTTTCAGATCTGCCCCTTATGAGCCTTGAACCTTTGAGCAAGTCATTTAACCTCCATGAGTTTAAGTTTCCTTAACTATCAAAGGGGGTGATAATATCTTATTGAGTGTTGCACAAATTAAATAAGATACTGAATATACCACTCTGCCAGGCTGTAGTGTCTCCAGCCTCAGATCCATTCATGGCCTTTCCCCCTGCTGTGGTCTGTGTATCAAGTGGATAGACCACTGCAGGCTGCCTTTTTCCCAGGTTCCCAGGTTCCCAGCTTCCAGCTGGGGTCAGTAGACAACACTGATGGGAGATTAAATTAGAGGTGTAGGGGAGAGAGAAGCAAAGATACCCCTCCCTTCTTCTTTTCACCCTAGGTGGTGTATCTGGCAGCAGTCTGTCTGCTTTGTGGCCCCAGTTCCTGCTGGCCAGTTGCACCACAATGTCAACTTCTGTGAGGTGACTCTGGTCCCTGGGCTTTGGTAAATCTGGTTCCTCTCTCTGTCCCTTTGGCCCATGGACAGTCATCCTAAATTCTTGTTTTGGTAATCTCTGCCTTGGCTCACTGTTCTCTGTTTGGCTTCTGTCTCGTTCTTCACCTGTGTAACCAATTCCTTGTGCTAAACTAAATCTGTTTTAAATGCTCAAATGGTCCTATTTCCTGCTTAGTCCCTACTGATATAACCACTTAGCATAGTAATGGTACCTGGTATGTATTTGGACTTGTTGAGATTGCTTAAACTGATACTTTAGGATGATATTGTTAAAGAAAACCAGAGCTGGACAGTGATTAAAGTGGATTTTAATTATAGATTTTATTCAGGAATTATTGCAACAGAGTAAAAGAGATCCCTGTATAGAACTGGGCTCCATTCTGAATAGAGCATAGGCAAGTGGGGATCTATTGGCAAGGAGCAGAGTAGGAGGTCAGTGTATGGAAAGTTACTGAGATGAAGAATGGGGGGAGGGGTGAAGGGATGATCATATACTAAGGGTGAAGCATGAGAAACTTAACCAGATATTGAGTTGAATGTGGGTAGTTTCCTCTAAACAGACTTAGCAAGATTCTTGCCACAACTGGGTGATTTAGGTCCATTAAGGATGGATGCCAAGATCAAGGCTTAGAGAGTTTGCAGAAACCTAACTAAAGTTTAGTCAAGGAGAGAGAGTCTTTGTCAATATCTAAATATATATCACTAATCAATAGAAAGAAATAATATTGTATGAATATTATAAAGGATATCATGGCATACTAATAAATTTCTGCTTAGTATACCTTTATTCAAAGGGGGGGGGGACCAAGCAATAATAACCAGATAAGCAGAAACACTATTAGTTTTTAATATTTATTAGTGATATTATATAATATATATTATTTCCCTAAATGGAGCACTTAAGAGTATTTCACTGTAGCCATTTAGTGACCAGTATTCCATGGGCTTTATTCATTACTATTATGCTGATATAGGAGCTGAAGAACTAACAAAGTCTCTGTGTCCCTATAAGCAAGGGATGATATATAACCAAATCTCAGTTTTCCATTTGGATGATTATACATTGTCACTTTTGTGGTAGGAGCATCATGACTTTGGGACACAAATGAATCAGAATGCTTCGTTATCATCCCCAGAAAACCTTACTTCACTCACTCCCAGTTAATGGCATCAGTGACCGCCTTAACTCCTGAGATGGCTACTGTAGGAATCACTGTGGACCCTTCTCATTTTCTTACCGCCACATCCAGCCCACTTTAGAAGCTTCTGTACAAAAGCATTTTAGTGCCTAAACCCATAGCTGTGATCAGAATTCCGCAACCCTTAGTACTGTTGACATTTTGCACTGGGTAATTCTTTGTGATGGGAGCTGTCCTGTGCATTGTAGGATGTTTAGCATCATCCCTGACCTCTACCCACTAGATATCAGTAGCACTCCCCAGGGTGATGATTATCAAAAATGCTCCCAGATATTGTCAGATTTCCCCTCAGGGAACAAAATTGCCCCCAGTTACAATTACTGCTTAGACTGGAGTCAGGAGACTACTGCAATAACCATTTATTGGAGACCTCTTTTATCTCTCTATTTTGTGTACAATTGAGTTTAATCTCTGTTACATAGCATATGAAGATCTTGACAGCATATAAAGCCTTTTGCAGTCTCCTGCTCCTATGTACCAGGCATCCTATCTTCCAATCACGCTGAAAACTGAACTCTTCCAATACTCCATACTTCCCAGGCCTTTGCATTCCAGCAGAGATGATTCCTTCAGCCAGGTGTGCATGGTGTGTCCTTCACTTGACAAGTTCCTTCTCATCCCTAAATGCTTAGGAGAAATGTCCCTCTGTTACCATTTCCTGGTGTCCCTAGGCATAATTACTGTCTCTATTAACTCTGAGCTCTACAATTATTCTTAGTTGACCTATATAGGTCACATTGGATGATTCACAAACTGGGTTACAACCAAGGTCCTTCCCTCATAGTTTTGAACTTGGGAACAGAACACATCGTATTAGTTTCTTTCTGGTGGCTGAAGCTGTACCTTCTAAATGAGAATTTTTGTTGGAAGCTGGTCTATAAGGAGATAAAAAGAAATAGCATAGATATGTGAGAAGTGGAGAAAATATCATTAGTCCTAATGAAATTCAAGACCCTGGTTCCAATATTCCTGAAACTTAACACATTCCTCATGTTGGAGAGATACCCCAACATCCTTATAATAAATTTTTCTTTTTGCTTTTGATAGGTTGAGTTCAGCTACTGGGGCTTGCTAGCAAGTATCGTAGCTAGGGCATTGGCAGGGCCACTCCATCACAGAAGAAAGAAAGAACAGGCCATTTGTTACTGGTCTCAAAACAAACAAGATCAGAATGCAAGAAAGTGACTAAATAAGGTTCCTTCCTTATCTCCCCAAGCATATTCAGGCTGAGGAGAAAATTTGGAATTTTACATCAAAGAATCTTTCTTATGAAACCAAGAGGCTTAAAAAAAAACACAAAACCCAGTTTTCAAATCTTCCATTACTCAATATATGAAGTCTCCATGTTTTCAAGTTAATTTTGAGGGATTTTGTGAAACTTTAAACATTTATTGTCACTGGTTTCCAGCTTCTATCTTTCCCTCACTCCTTACCCATTTCTCTAAACAATTCTGGCTTATTTCCTCCAAGTTGTAGCAAAGATGTTTGAGCAAAGAACTCAATTGAACCTTTGAGAGGTTATTTTCTAACCTTATTCTACCCTTACTAATAATTTGGCAACTATAAAAATAATTGAATTACTTGCATTTTTTATAAAGATAAAAGTGAGATAAAAGTGAGTCAGATGTGTTTTCAATTTATTAGCTAAACTCCAGAAATGGGACATGTGCCCAAAACAATTAAAACTGATAGAAATAAAGATAATACAATGCACCTCTTGACACTGATCTGTGGGTTGCCAAATGAAGCACTGGGTTGAAAAAAAAAATTTTGCAGGTAATTAACCCATCTACAATTGGCTCTTGATAATTCTTTTCTTAATTGCTCGGATAACAAGGACAGCATATTGTTTACCTTTTATTCCCAAAGCCTAGTAGAGTGCCAGTCTATTTGTAGGTGTTCAATACATGTCTGTTGAATGAAGACGAGCATCCTACGCTCCTGCTGGCTCTATTTCTTGGCATATGTCAAGGTTATAGTCATTATCACTCTGTTAGGCAGGGAGCAGTTCAGAAAACAGAAACTACATTAGGTGTTTCAGACAGAGGAGATTTTATACAGGGAAATGGTTACATGAGTGATGGGAAGGTGAGAGCACAGCAAGGGGATTCTAAGGCAAGCCAGAAGTTATATCTCCAGAAAGAAGCCATCCATCATTGCCCCCTTGGGCTGGGGAAACAATGTGGCAGAGTTAGGGTTACCTTGCAGCTCAGAGCAGAGGCCCTGAGGAGCTGATGATCAGAACTTCGAAGAAGGTCACTCCCCAGTAGTGGCTGCTACTGGTGTCTCTGAGGGGGCATAATGAGGTCAATTCCGGTATTGCCAAAAGAACCTGCAAACTAGAGCAACTGCTGCCACTGAAGCAATGCTGACAGGAATGGAAACAAAGTACTGAAATCCCTCTCCATTTGTTCAGTCTCCCTCTAGCACAGCATTTCTCAACTAGGGGTGATTTTGCTCACCTGGGGACATTGGCAATGTCAGGGGACTTTTTGGTTGTCACAACTCAGATGGAGAATGTTGGCTTCTAGAGGTAGAGGCCAGGTAGATGCTTAGCGTCCTATAAGGCACAAGACAGCCCTTATCAACAAACAATTATATAGACCAAAATGCCAATAGTGCTGAGGGTGAGAAACTCTGCTCTCGCAGAACCTAAATGAAGACAGATGACAAGGCAGTCTTGGAAGAGCAGTCTGAGGAGTCCTAGCCTCACAGAATCAGAGTGGAGTGTAAAAGAGTAAATTTGGAGCTGAGAGACTATATATAAATGACTGGCACAAGCATCTGTCTGGGAAGAGCTTATTCTTGGACACAGACATGGTGTGACTGCCCATAGGCCAAATCAGATGTGGTAAGTGGGGATAAGAAATATGACTAATGTTTCAAAAGCAAATGTAGATGGTTTGAGATTTTTTCAGTGTTCTGTTAACATGACATAGTAGTTAAAATGTGAAGGATATGTTTGGCATGATCTGCCTTGAAATACAGCATAAGTATCATACACAGACTCACTTTGAATCCTTGTGGGGCACCCCAAAGTGAAAAGCAGTCATCCTCTGTAGAGATACCTGTGAGGTACAAGGAGAGGTCATTGTCATTGCTGATCAGGAGAGGTGATCAGATATATGATGCCAATTAGCACTGTCTACACATATTAGATCCCATAGCTAAAGATTCCTGTGAATCTGTTATTCTTGGTTTTTCAGGTTACTATTGTCATAATATAAACTCCCTCAAAACTTAGTGGCTTAAAATGACAATCATTTCATTCTCATGGATTCTGAGGATCAGAACTCTAGTTGGGACACAGTGGACATGACTTGTTGCCCTTCCATAATGTATGGGACCTCAGCTGGGAAGAGGCAAAGGCTGGGGTGACATCACCAGGAGGCTTCTTCACTCACATATCTGGCTCCTGGGTTGGGTTGACTAAAGACTAGCATGTTGACCAGAGTACCTACATGTGACCTCTCCATGTGGCCTGGCTTCCTCACAGCATGGTGGCCTGAGGATAAATAGTGTTGTAGGTCTCCAAGCTCAAGTGTTACTATGAACCTGACAGAAGCTGCATCACCTTTTGTGGCATGGCCTCTGAGGTCACACAGCATCACTTCCACTGTGGTCTATGGGTTGAAGCAGTCACAAGCCTGCCCTGATTCAAGGGGACAGAGACTCCACCTCTTAACAGGGAAGCGTCCAGGTCACATTAGCAAAGAACTTATGGGGTGGTGGATATTTCTACCATTTTGGGGGGAAAGCATACTCAAATAGTTTGAGAAAACAAAGATGGGGTTTTACTCACAGAAAGAGGAGAAAGCTGGTATCATGGAAAGTGTCCTGAATCTGGAATGCTGGGTTTAAATTCTAGATCTATGCCACTGAGTCAATTACTTCATTTTTTGGTTATTGTTTTGTTTTTTTTTTAATCTGGAAAATGGATGATACTTAAAGCTCTTGAAAAATGTAAGATTCTTTGATCTTAACTCAGTTGAGGGAAAGATTATATTAATATATATGATAAATTAGTATCCACTGTCATGTGACTTAAGAAAGAACAGAGGTTTCTAAGGAAGACAGAATAGAAAATATAGGAGAAAAAAATGGGGATCAGGTGGAATAAAGAAATGTTTCAGTTATAGTCATTGCATTATATTGCTGAAAGGAACCTTGGAGACTTCTTCATCCAATCTCTATCATTTTATAGATAAGAAAACTGAGGTCTAGAGCAGGGAAGGGACCTAGGTAAGAGAATTCCTTTCTTAGAGAATTTACTGGTAAAGATCTTGCAGGATCTTTTATATTTGTATCAGATGCTAATTTTTGTATTTACTATTTGGAGAACAAACAAAAACCGGAAGAGATTGAACATAATTCTTCTTTTGAATTACTTAAATGTATAGACATGTATATTAAGGTTTTTGTCTTGATCTTTTTAGGACTATTTGAGATATATAAAAGGGATCTGTTAAAATTAATGGATTAATTTACTTGTTTATTTTCACTGCAAACCAGTAGCAACATACAGGCATTTTAAAAGGACAAGAAATGAAAAAGAAAATATGTATTACTTTTATGTGATGTATTACTTAATTCTTTATATTTGAGAAAGGACTTCCACAGCCTTGGCATATTATCAAAATATGAGGTAGTATGAAGCAATAGAACAATGTCAGTAGGAAATCAAATATAAAATAGGAACTATGCCTAAGATGTATTTATTATAGGGAAACCACTATGCATTTTGGATTGATACTAAGTAATGATAGATAAGGGATTATATGGTACCAGAAAAAAATTACATATTCCTTTTGGGGGGAGGTAGTGGGGTAGAGTGCAGTGGCATCATCAGAGCTCACTGCAACCTCAAAATCCTAGGCTCAAGCAGTCCTCTTGCCTCAGCCTACTGAATAGCTGGGACTACCAGCACATGCCACCACGCCCACCTAATTTTTCTATTTTTAGTAGAGATGGGGTCTCACTGTTGCTGAGCTCAAGCAATCCTCCCACCTCAGCTTCCCAGAGTGTTAGGATTATAAGCATGAGCCACCACGCCCAGCCCATATTCCTTTAAGAAAAAAAAATCTAGATTTTATTTGTGTGTGTGGTCAAGAAACATATGAAAAAATGCTCAGCATCTCTAGTCATCAGGGAAATGCAAATCAAAACCACAATGAGATTTCACTTATCTACAGTGAGAATGGCCTTTATCAAAAAGTCTCAAAACAATAAATGTTGGCATGGATGCAGACAGATAGGAACACTCATACACTGCTCATGGGACTGCAAACCAGTACAACCTCTGTGGAAAGCAATATGGAGATACCTCAAAGAGCTACAAGTAGAACTACCATTTGATCCAGCAATCCCATTACTGGGCATCTACCCAAAGGAAAAAAAGACATTCTATAAAAAAGACATCTGTACTTGAATGTTTATAGCAGCACAATTCACAATTTCAAAGATTTGAAAACAACTCAAGTACCCATCAATACATGAGTGGATTAATAAAATGAGGGAATTCTTGAGGTGATGGAAATGTTCTGTATTGTGACTGAGATGGTAAATTTTATACATTTGTCAAACCCCATAAAACTACACCACAAAATGAATTTTATTATATGTAAACTTAAAACAAACAACAACAAAAAGATCGGAATATAGGGGGAACTCAAAAGGAAATACAAACTATAACAAACCTAGCTGAATTTAAATTAATGCAAGCAGGAGAGGACTAGGAGAATAAAGAACTAACCTAAGTTATTTTGCAAAACAGTATTTCAACTGTATAAAACCCAGAAAGAATTATACACAAATGCATGGGTTGGCAATTCCAAAACTATATGTATAGTGGGGTTCAGTGAATAAATATGTTTTAGATAATGAGAGCCAGATTTTTCAGTGTCAAAGAAAGAAGTTAGTAACGAGGAAAGGGTGAAGGCTAGAATAAATGCTTTGAAATCTGAGGTATTGATTCAATCGTTTTATTGTTTAAATGTATCTATTCAGATAGATATATAAAGAAACAAATTTTCTGTGGGGTCTGTGTGTTTGTGTTTTCTATTCATTAAGAAAGCCTAGAACAAATAGGAGCCCAGTAATAATAATTATACCCAGATAATGGTTTCTATATACCAATAAGAAGGCATATTTGGAATTATTTCCATATTCCAATAAAAGGAACCAGGGCTCCTAGAAGAAGTGCTTGATTCCAGGACTGGGACATGGAAAATACAGGATGATCTTGGAGCATCTTATGGTGTCAGAAATTGAAAAAAATATTCCAAAAAGGATGGGGGAGGTGGGGTGGATGAGTACATGTTGAGAAAGCTCTGGAGCCAATCTGAAAGAGCTCCCAGTGGTCAAAGCTGGAACCATTTCAAGAAGATAAAATAAAATAATAATAGTTATTAGATTATAATCCAAATAATAAAATGAAAATATGTGAGTCCATACTGTTATAAATACATTATTGAACAAATAAATAAACAAGGGAGAATGAACCGTTCTTCCTTGCAGAAGAATTCCAAATAATAAATGTAGGCAGAATGAAAAAAACAGAAAATCACATGAGAATACCACAGCAATAATTGTTGCAGGCAATAACCATCAGTGCTAAAATGTGTAGTCTAATATTTGAGGAGAAATAGAATGTTTGCACAGTCTTAAAATAACCCCCTGACATTAATTACAAAGGAAAAAATAAAGGTATATCAGTTTAGTGATATTCTTACCAAAAATGTACAAGCTCAATCAACTCAAGAGAAAACTTCAGAAAAGCCCAACTCAAGGGATATTGTACAAAATAACTGATTAATACTTTCCCAAAGTGTCAAATTCATAAAAAACATGGAAGGACTAAGGAATGGTCATAGATTTTATGGTCTTATAGTTCATCATATTAAAGTCTTTTATATACTTTGAATTTATCAACACTTTGATAAATTCACAATCATAGCAGGAGATTTTATCTATCTCTTTCAGTAATTGATAGATGGGAAAAAATTTGGTAAGAATTGCTTGTTGGAGCATTTTTATAATAGTTGCTTTAAAGTCTTTTAAAGATAATTCCAACATTCTTATTGTCTTGGCATTGGCATCTGTTGATTATCTTTTTCCCAAGTGAGGTAGCAGAGAGTAGAACTATTTTGAGGGTACAACCAGCAGGTCTTGGTGGCTTTGTTTGCCTTTCATTAGAAGTGTGGATAGAATGAGGGTAGAGGTGGTGAGGGGTAATAATAGAAATCATCAACAAGTTTTTATGGCCTCTGGTGTGGATATCTGGGTGAATTTTGGTAGCATGTGTTGAAATTGGATGTAAAAGAGAAGGAGGGAAGATGAGAAATTCAGTTTTTCACATGAAGAGATTGAGATGCTTATGGGACCAACCACATAGATGTGTCCCACAGACAGTTGGGTATTCGAGTCTGAGCTCACAGAAGGGGGCAGACCTAGAAATACAACTTGTGAATTATTATTGCATAAGTGGTGTTTAAAGTAATTTTTTTTAAAAGGTGTAGAAAGGTTGACTAAAGAATCTAAAATGAGAGCAGAAGTATTTAGAAAATAGACAGAAATGGGGGACTAAGAAGGAATAGTCAAAGAGGTAGGAGGAAATCCAGAATATATGATAAGAAGTCTAGGGAGTAAACAGTGTCAAAGAACAAAATTTCAACAAATTGAGTTGAAAGTGATTCTGTCCCATTTTAAATTTCTGTTTAAGGATGTGACACCTAGTGTGAGTGATTTCCATTCTGATTTGCTCCTGTTTATTGGGGCCTAGTGTAAGTGCTCAGTCCAAAACAATGGCCTCCCATAAGTTGTATTTAACAAGAATTTCAAGACAGGGAGAAATCCACATGATCAGAAGTAGGAGAACAGTCTAGTAAGATAATGACTGAAAAGGGTATTGGTCACTGGTGACATTTGCCAAACAGTTGCAGTGTCTTGGTGAAGGTAGAAAAAGATCAGTGAGTTATGAAATGAAAAGGAAGTAAGGAAGTAGAGTTAAAAAGTGGGGACCACTGTTTCTTGAATCTTAGATGAGAAGGGAAGGAATGAATAAGGCATATAGTGAAGAAGCATATGGAAGAAAACATGATTTCTAGACTTTGTCAAAATACTTCTTTAAGTAATTATTTGTATTTGTTTCATCTCATGTGGCTGAAGCTTCATCTTGGAAAATGAGAATAGACAGACATCATTTTAACAACTAAAGCCTAAGTCATATAAAGCTACAAAGAGATCTTGAATAAGCCCAAACCCCCAGAGCTGCTACTTGAAAACAAAATTCTTCCATTAATTTTGACCTGCTGTTGCCAAGCAAAAGGAGCCAGAGTAGTTAGCTAAGGCTTTGTAAATGAAAAGTTCCCTCTTGAATCTCTTCTATACACTCACTGCAGAACATAGGCACAAACTGCCTCTCTGTATGGGCTCGCTAATTGAAAGTAGGCTGCTGCCCTCACCTACTGCCGTGTCTCTGGTGGTCATCACATGCTTCAAACATTAAATAGCCCTACTATTAAGCAGAGACTTTCCCTCTCCCACCACCTGTTAATAATAGCGATTGCACATAAGGCTTGTTTTCCTGGTTTCTTTCTACTTCTGTTCTCACTGTTGTTTATAATGTGGGTTCAGTTAGTTTCCTTGACCCTTCTAAAGGAAGCTGATTTGGTAAGGATACTCTGATCATCAAAAATAGAATTGCAGCAGCACTACTCCAGATCTGCAAGAAACTATTTTCCAACTCAGAGACTTATTTTGTGCCATAATTTTTCTGGTTTTAGAGAAGCTATAGTATCATCAGACAGTTTTTTGCTTTGCAGAGTGATAAATTCACCCTATGAAAGTCAAAAAGAAAATTTCTATTCTCTATCTGTCCCATTCTTTTGTTGTTTCAGCAAAAAGAATTTACTTACCTCTTGACTCAGCAAGGTAGTGGGTGAGGGTACTCCCAATACTGATTATGGCCCTAAAGCTAACAATTGTCTCTAAAGGAACCAAGTGAGGAACAAATGGAACCTGGATTCTCAGTTTTACTTGATAATACCATTAGAGATTTCATAATTATATAGGAGGAATGGGCATGATGATTTTACTGTTGTCTAGCTCCATACCCCTTAATAGCTTAAAAGGCAACTGAAGTAACAATTTAACAATTAAAAAATAAAATGGATGAAAAAATGCAAGTGTTTAGATTGTTTAATCAGTATAACAGAAATATAATGGGGAAAAAAGTGCCTTTGAAGATGATGACCATTTCTCCCCAAAGTAAAGTAAAACTCAAGTTAGCTAGAAGCTGAATTGTGAAAACCCCAAAGAAAGCCTATGTAAGCACTTAACCTTTCATGTATTTAATAAGTAAAATAAATTCCTGTCTACTGAAAAATTATCCTTCATGGAGAGCAAATGTACTGGATGAACTAGACCACTAAAGGGTCCTATTTACTTCAATACTTCTTGATGTGCAGTGATGCTGCTTGGAAAAAAAATAAGAAAAAAAACAAACAAACAATGAACAAAAGACTTCATGATGAAACTTTATGTAAACTTTGAGTTCATGGGTGTTGCCTATGAGCCATAAAGCATTTGGGTGAATCAATGTGGGAGAATAAAAGTAAAGACTCATGGTAAACTACCTTGGACAATTTAGAGGAGCTAGGTTGACAGACGATACATTTTAAAAATTGGTCAAACTATTTGTAGTTATTTGTAACAAATGGTTGTTGATTTTGTGGGATAGGCACTATATTAACATCAAAGTGTTTCCAAAAAAAAGTCTGGAAAAAGATATAAACTCTAGCAATACTG